CTCTCAAAAATAAACATTAAATAAAATGAGCCTGCACAGGGCTTGGCTTTGGGGAGCCTAAAGTTTGTGTCCTGGGCTGCTGTTTCCTGCCTGGTCCTAGAGACTCCCATCAGCATCCGCTGTGGCTGTCCCTAAACCAGTTGTGGGCAGGGCTCAGGGTTGGGCCCAGAGAAGCTTGTGGGGTCTCTGCGCCAGCAGGGCACAATCTGTAAGCGTGGGTGTGGGCATGTGGCTCGGGGGGGTGGGGTGGGGTGGGGTGGGTAGTTCTCTCTGGAGAAGTCATACTTGTCATTGCCAAAATCAAAACAGCACATGAGAACTAGAGAGAAACCGAGAAACCCGCCAGAAACGCCTTTTCTCAGCCTCCCTGCCTGCTTCAGGGAGCACACCATGCCCTCCCCTCGGCTGTGTCCTGTCTGTGACTCCTCAGGGGACCACACCGTGGTTAAGTCCTTGCTGACGTACACATGGATGTTTCCAGTCTCCACCAGGGACTGTAGCACTTGTGTGCCATCCTTCACTCCGCTGGTGTTCTCTTAGAGAAGGGGTCAGAGGGCGTCCCTGGTGTCCACTTGGGAAGTGATCAGCAAAACCCCAGCCTTTACCTCCACCAAGGGGGCATGTTTTCACACACCTTGCATGCACCATTGTCCTGCTTCCTACTTTTTCTAATTATCCAGAGCAACGTGATGCCTCAAAGCATTACATTTTGCACTTACTTGGTGGTTGCAGACTGGTTTTTCCTCTTGTGTGTACTACCTTGGTGAAAATTTCATTGTGGTGTTCATATTTCCCTTACTGATTTGTGGGAACTCTGTACATCGTAGCTTTGTACCCATGCTGAACGTAAGTTTAAGTTTAGCTCTGGAATCTAGGTGGGATTTATTTGGTGTCTGGTATGAATTGAAGATTCTAAGAATTGAGGGATGGTTTTCACATGGTGAAGTGCCTGGGTCTTGTTCGTACAGCACAGCAGGTTTTGACAGACCGCTTTCCCCATGTAACCCTTCCCTCCCCAGAGAATAGGCCTTTCCCGTCACCTGGCAAGTTTCTGTGTTCTTCCCAGCTGGTTCCCACTTCCGAGAGGCATTTCCTGTTCAGGTTTCTTTCACCATAGATTGGACTGGTTCTTTTCCATTGCAGAACTTCATGTAAATGGATCCATGCAGCATATGACTCTTTTTTCTAGCTTCTCTTGCTCAGGTTTTTTTTTTTTTTTTTTTTTTTTTTTTTTTTTTTTTTTGCTCGCACTTTGTAAAGCGTCAGTTTATTGCTGAAGAGAATTCCGTGGTAAGGATATGCCAGGTTTGTTTACCTCTTCCCCATCGTATGTACATTTGTATTTCCAGTTTGGAGCTATTATCAGGAAAGCACCTGTGAACATTCTCTTACAGCCTGTTGTGTGAATGTTTTTGTTGTGCAGGGAAAATCCCTGGACACGGACTTGCTGCGCGAGGCGGTCAGCGCATGTTCCATTGTGGCTGTGCTATTCCACTCACCGTCGCGTGTGAGAGCGCTCTGCTGGTGTCCCCCGCTAGTACCAAGTGCGCCTATTCTGGGGGGGATGTGGTGGCACGTGGCATTCATTTGCATCCCCACTGATGATGAGCACCTTTTCAGATGCGTGTTGTCCGTGCAAAGTGTTCAGTCTTTTGTGTGTTTTTTAATTGGACCATCTTTCCATTGTTAAGCGTAGGAGTCCTTTGTGTATTCTAGGTACAAGTCCTTTCTTTGTCAGACAGAAGTATTTAAGTGTTTTCCCTCAGTCTGTTATTTTGTGTTCATTTTCTTCAGAGCAGAAGTTTACAGATTGGGGCAAGTCCAGTCTCTATTCTGGGGACATTTTCTCTGTCTGCAGGCATCATATCATTGCCCATTCCAAGGTTGAGAAGATCATTTCCCATTTGCTTCTAAATCCTTACGATTTTAGACTTTATGCTTTGGTGTGTGATCCATCTCAAACTGATGCTTGAGCATCGAGGGAGGTAGAGATCAAGCCTCATCTTCCCCAGTGTGGTCATTTGCTGATTTTTAGAAAGATTTGAAGATTCTCCCATTGAGTTGCATTGGCTCCTTGGTAGAACATTAGTTGGCACATGCATGTGGACTCTATTTATGAACTCTCATTCCTGTGGTTATTTGCCTGTCTTTCTGTCTTTATTCCTGTAGCTTCATTTTAAGTATCAAAATCACCTGTGGTCTACATACTCCAGATTGTTTTTATTCTGAAACATCATATAAATTCCTATCAAAAAAAAAAAAAAGCTGGGTGGATTTTTTTTTTTTTTAATTTTTTTTTTTTTTCAACGTTTATTTATTTTTGGGACAGAGAGAGACAGAGCATGAACGGGGGAGGGGCAGAGAGAGAGGGAGACACAGAATCGGAAACAGGCTCCAGGCTCTGAGCCATCAGCCCAGAGCCTGACGCGGGGCTCGAACTCACGGACCGCGAGATCGTGACCTGGCTGAAGTCGGACGCTTAACCGACTGCGCCACCCAGGCGCCCCTGGGTGGATTTTTTTTAACTTTTAAAATCAACTTTACTGAGATATACTTCACATATCATAAAATGTACTCAAGGGTTCCATGAATTTTGACAAGTGTATATACTCCTGTAACTATCACCATCACAATCAAGATGTAAAGAACGTCTCATTATCCCCCAAAACATTGCTGGTGCCTCTTTGCAGTCAACCCCACCCTGCCCCGGGAGATGCTGATCTGCCTGGGTCAGTATAGATGAATAGTTTCTGTTCTAGAATTTTTTTGTAATTGGAACAATACAGCATGTGCTTCGTTATCTCACCATTTAAAACTATGTGTTAAGCCAAGGAAGCCAGATAGAATCTCAGACTTGCAAGAAAGATGCAGGACAGGGCAAAGAGCTTTTTTTTTCTCTGAACCATGAAAATAGCTGGCTTGATGCTCCAGTGTCCCTACAAGGGCAATCTCCTGTGTGACAACACCAGGATGGCGCTGCTCTCTCCCCGTAGCCTGTATCTTACACATAACTGAGAGCCTCACAGAATAATTCATGATATTGTCATACGTTTTACTGTCTATACACCAAGATATTGTTACTACTTTTGCTTTAATTAGCCATTTATTATTCTTTTGATTTGTAGCTTGTGTACTCATTTTTTCACTGGTTTCGTTTTTTTGGGTTTTTTTTTTTT